CCCCTCTCATGTTCCAAGGCTCGTGTGGCACGGTGTGGATGCGGATCATAGGTATCTTATCTACATCCAGCCTGCCACGCTCCTCGTCACTAAATGCGTAGGCGCGATGCTTCCTCTTCATTAATTCCACCATCAGCGTTCGCTCCTGAGGCAGCAGGAAATCAGACTCCCCTATGATCAACTCCTTCTCGTTCCCTTCGTTGATACGACATGGCCCTGCTAAAGCACTTTCCCTCATTTGTCGAATCAACCCTCGTTCCCTCTCGTAATATGTTTCCTCGTCCTCTGTAACGCGGACGGGTACCGGGCGACATTTCTTATCTACCGTCTTGTACCGCCTTTGGGAACCCTGCTTGAGCCGTCCCCTAAAAAAAGCCGACTTACGGATTGTGTTTGCATTGATGCTCCACTGCCTGGGAGCCGATATACCAGTTCCAACCTTCCTGCCTCAGGGTATTCCAGAACTTGTTCCCTCAAGGCCTGGATGGCATCCGGATCTGCCATCTCATGCGCGGCCCGTAGGTCCATGGCCTTCCCAACATCTGACAGGCTGAGGGAAAATGCTTTCACCCTCTCTCCTACTTCGGACTCTGCCCAGAGCCTTCTGCGCTCCCCTTCCGACTCCTCAATTGTGAATGATCCCGGATTGGGCCGGTTCCTTCTACTCCTTGGCCCGGTATTCCGGCAAGTAATTATTTCATAATTYCCGCAGGCAGGATCGCATAAGAGGAGGATCAACGTCCCATCATGTTTGTTGAACATCACGGTTTCTGTCCTGCTTAGGAATGACCTTCCCAGGAGGATTCCATGGTCCACGTTTGACATTATGAAGAAACATGCCCTAGCCTTCACCTTTCCAACCTCAACGCGCACATTCGAGGCTGTCGCGCAAAACATGGCCTTACAGCTGGCTCCATGCAGAAAACCGCAGTCAGAACGGTCTATATCCAGCCCGAATCTGATCGCGTCCGCCTCCCGAATAATGTTCATCTCTGTCCCGGTGTCCACCATTGCTGCGCACTTGGAACCCTTCACCATCAAATTCACCGTACCGCAGGCTACGCACTTCCAGTCCATCTTCGTACCTGACTCTGCCTACTCTGCCTCCTTGGGCAGGATCGTACCCAGATGGACATTGGGCACCAGGCGCCGTGATAACCTCCCCTTCAGTTCATCGGGGAGTCGCGGGGCTGACGATAGGATTTCCTTCAGGGTCATGAGTTCATTATGCCCTTCCAGCAGTAGGTCAATCACCTTCTCTACGTTAAATCCTTCTTCCAACCGGACCGCGTATTTCTTCCTTTTGGGCGGTCCGTCCTGTATGACCGGTTCGGCCTCTCCCCTGATCCCCTTTTTCCTTGCTCGCTGCTCCGCTCTCTGATCCTCTTCTTTGCGCAGCCTCTCGTCCTCTTCGTCATCGTCGTCCTCTTCCTCTTCGTCATCGTCGTCCTCTTCCTCTTCGTCATCGTCGTCCTCTACTTCCACAGCCTCCTTCCTTCTCCCTGGTTCGTGTTCCCCCCTTGGAGGCTCTTGGCTGGTACTGGCCTTGGCTTGATTTCTCGTTAGCGCTGCCTGTGCCAGCCGGGCTTGCGGAGTGAGGGGTCTCCCCCTAATTCCTGGTTGAGGGCACGACCCCACCACATTTACTCCGGGTCGCCCAGGCGCTGACTCCGGGCCGGAGTCATAGAGGAATACTGTGGGGATGTTAGACCTCCATCCTTTCACTTCTTTACAGAGGCCCACCAACTTCTGTTAAAACCTCCCCATCTTATCCAACAAGTCCTTCATCTTCTCAAATAAGACAGACGGAGGCTCCGTTCTTTCCTCCTCCTCCTCGTCATCTGACTCGATGATTATGGCCTCTTCCGTCTCACTTCCTCCTCGTAGCCCTTGAGTCACTTCCTCATCACTTCCCACTTCTTTCACCCCAAACGGTGGTTCCTCCTTTTTCTGCCATAGCCTGAACATGGCAGGGGGCGGTGGTCCCGCTGCCGCTCTTCGTTGGGCTTCAGCTCTCACTCCTCCAAGCCTTCTGTCAATGGCCTCCC